GGTAATGTAGATCAACAATGGGATCAGACTAGCGAAGCAATGCACTTCGCAGTGAAGGTTGCTTGTAGATCTGAAGCGGTCGCCCGACCGAGGCGTTGAATATCCGATCAGTTAGTAGCACTGATGAAGAAAAAGCAGCGAATCCCGACCGCCCGGGATTAAGGAAGGACTGGGTGGCGTCTGCAACGCCAACTCAAGAAGGACCGCGAGAACTGGTGGGCAACAATAGCTAGTGAAATGGAAGTAGCAATTGCATCCGGGAATGGTCAAAGGCTGTCCCGACTGATGCGCGATACAGGAGGTCGGCGAATCACAGTCAGTGAAACAATCTGCGACAGAAGTGGACAAATTATTCACAATAGGGAACAACTGCTTGACCGGGGGGTGGAGTACTTTAATGAACAAGTCAGCTGGCCATGCTATCTCCTCCGGTTTAGCTGAGGCTCCGTGGGAAGTGTCATCTAAACCTACTACTGTAGCAGAAGTTCGTTTTTGCATCCAAGCCCTGAAGAAAGGAAAAGTAGCAGGACCGGACGGGTTTCCTTCCCCCCCCCCCACTCTTTTCAAGATGGAGGTCGATGACTTCGTAGACTCCATTTCTGATATATTGCGTGACATCTGGTCATACGAGCGCATTCCATCATCCTGGAGCGAATCACTGATCGTTCCAATTTTTAGGAAGGGATCTCGCAATGACTACGCAAACCACCCCGGAATAAGTTTAATAAGTTTGAGCTGCGCCATACGCACCGTCGACCAACGGTTGTCGTGTTCCTTGACCTAAAAGGGAGCCTTCGACTCATCATCATCATCACCGTACAGCGGGCTTCGACTCAGTTGATCGTGAATCCCTTATGCGTTCACTCCTTTGCAAAGGAATGCCGCAGAAGTATGTGAACATACTGAATTCACTCTACTCACATACTTCTGGTAGCGTAAGGGTCTACGGCGAGCTGAGTAGGTCGTTCGTAAATAGCCGCGGTGTTCGTCAAGGGTGTCCTCTTTCGCCATTCCTGTTCAATTTCATCATAGACGAAATACTGGAGAACATACTAAGTGGTCTCCAAAATGTAGGTATTGAATAGGCAGCTGGAGAAAAGCTGTGCGATTTGGAGTACGCTGACGACATCATTTGCTTGTTCGAATGTATGGAGGATGCACAAAGAGCACTTGACAGATTAGCAAGTTCTGTTGCTCCGTTCGGCCTGTGTTTTTGCGCCTTAAAAGTGCATAGTGATGCTACAAGACTGAATGTTGCAGAGTTCTCGGAAACTAGACGGTCAGGAACTAGCTGCTTCTCGAACTTAGGTAGTTGCGTGACCAATGACGGTAGCGCATCAAAGGAGATAACCGTCCGCACTTCCAAGGTTCGAGCAGCGTACGCAGGACTGAAACACCTGTGGCGGTGACGTGAGGTTTCATTTAAGTTGAAAAGTCGCATATACTGTGCTACTGTACGATCAGTTCAGCTTTACGGTTGTGAGACCTTGAATTTGCGAGTAGAAGACATCCGTCGCCTAGTGGTTTTCGACAATCGATGCTTACATCGTATGGCCCAAGTGAGATGGAGTGAGCGGGTTAGTAACTAAGATGTAAGTCGTCGGGTGTTTGGGGCTGTATCGAATACGAATTCGCCAGCGCATCGAATTGAGCTCAATCGGCTCCGTTGGTTAGGACGGTCGCCTACCACGGCGCGCTTTTTTCGCAGTGGCTGTTGCAGTCTGGAAGAATCCACATGGAGGCCAGCAGATTACGCGTAAACGAGGTGTGAAGAGATGCACAGAGCAATTAGGTAGAGTAGGTGTCTCTCGTCTTCCGGGTTGGGGTTGAAAATACTCCGAAACCGAATGGTTGGAAACACTGAAGGTTATGGCTGCGAACGGACAGCAATGGCGATCATGCTGTCACTTCTTATCGGACCAGAATGCTTCAAATAGTATGTATACACAGTTGGACTGTGTACTCTGTATGTTGACCATAGAGGTCCGCTTTCTTTTCCCGTCTCTAAAAATAGATCCAGTCCCAGTCCTTCTTACACATTCTCATTTACCTTGTATGCAATATGAGTTTGGGAGTGATCATTGATGTTCGCCTCACTGTATTACGCTGTACAATGATGATGATAACGATGCAATGTTAGGGTCGTTGTCAGCCACCTTGATTGTCTGAAGATTCCCGACGAATTATCTGAGTTCGGTTGTCTGTGTTCTCCTTTGAAGTTTGCCTACCCATGATGTAGTCTAATCTACTGCTATCTACGCTTCATTGCATTCGTCTGGTGGGGCAAACGGACAAGCAATGCTGTCCTTAGGTGCAAAGTTTTAGGTAACCTCAGTCGCCCACCGGAGAATGTGTTCGACCTCCATGGATTACTTTGGTTTGTGTGTGTTACGCATGTCATCAGGGAGATTGTCACCGCGCGCGATGTTTTTCGAGGCAGGTAGTCGGTGGAATAAAGCCAAGGGTTATCAACCTAAGATCTGGCGTGAGGGTATGAAAACCCTAATCAGGAGATTCAGTCACATTGTTAGGTCCCGTTAGGTCTCCTGGGATGATCAAAACCGGTGTTTAGGGCTATATTAATGAGTATCGTAAAGAATGGCGTTCGTTCATCTTCTGAACTTTTCTGCAACCTTAGTCCACTGAAATTCTCCATTTTCTTTTCGATTCCACTTTGGACTTTCTTATCTTTCTGCCACCGCTTCATCTAAACCGGTAACTAAAAAATGGCAACCAAAACCGGCGCACAAAAGTGCATATTCAGTGTTTGCACAAACCGAAACTGAGTCTAATCTATTGAATGATGAATTAGCTACTGTTATTCCTCCGGCAGTCATGCTCCAGCGCGATTCTCTCTTGAATTCCTCGTTGATTGTGGAAAGGCTGGAGATACATACACTCAGAAAAACGCGTATGACGCGCATGGAAACATCATGTGTGCCAAACATTTATGAAGCTTTACTGATTTTACCGTGTTGCCTTCAAATCACCCGGACTATCAAGAAGTATTCAGTCTGTCTCGTTATGACATATACTGTCCTACGGAAACATGCCAATTCATGAGGCTGGAAAATGTGGTAGAAAAGTGCATGTGAACAGGCATGGGATTAGTGGAAAGTGATGTGATTTGTTCGCTGGTTGGGGCATGTGTTAAGCACGTCACCAGATAGGTTGCCACTGCGAGCAATGTTTGCCGAGGCAGGTAGCGGTTGGAAAAAAGCCCAGGCGATCAAACGAAGACCTGGAATGCGGATATGAAAACCCGAGACAGGATACTAGGTCACATAGGTCCCGTTAGGCTCCCTTACTGGGGACCCCGAGATGATGGTCACCGATGGTACGAGACACTGAACGATATGTCTGGGTGGTACTCATGCATCTACTCATTTTTCTTGTACATCAATCGATATGAATTCCGATTGTTCCGCTTGAATTTGCCCCTTAACATTCTAAACTCCATTTTGTTGTTTTATCCAAATGAGCAACCGAAACCGGCGCACGAAAGTGCATTGATGATGGTTGTAAAAACCGAATTGAACGAAACAGTACGTCTGTCAGCCCAAAACAGGTGGTATAGACTATCGGTTTCTGCCGTAATGCACTAAACTCTTGCCCAGTTTATTTCTCCAGCGTAGGTATATGACAAGTAAATTAGCTGATTTTCGGTGTAGGGTGTTCATCCGTTCATCTTTGTAGCAGGGAATTAAATGAGTAAATTCTGCCCCGCAATCTCTCATGCACACATAGGCGGTCCGCGTTCTTCCTTAATCATTTGGGCTCTCTGTATACAAACCATTTTTGGTCATTTTTCTCCCAAAATTCAAATAGCCATTTTAACATACGTTCTTGACAAATTGGGCTTAAATTCTGTCACTCTTGATGTGTTTTTTACTCCTGGAAGCGGTCTATCACCTTGCAAATCATTTCAGATGCATTAAACCACCCGTGCTGGACCAGGACTCAACTTACTCAAGTGTTACAATTCTCGCGGCCACATTTCTGAGTACGACTACTGCTTCAAATGCGTGAGGGTGCACCCTACACATTCATTTGGATTAAAAATCGTTGGAATGCGTAACCAAGTAGACATCTCATTTGCAGTAAATGATATCTCATGCTGAACAAAAGCATTTCGCTCAGATTGAATATCGTCTCATGTGTGACTAACAAATCGTCACTGTCTTCTTGTTTTTCTCATTTCACTTTGAAAACTTTTCAATATTTTCGATTTTCATTGCGTATCATGATTTCCATTCCTCCTGGGCTTCAGAATAGTGGCGGAACGAGCACTGCTGAGGCAACCGATTCTGTTCCCGCTGTCTCATTCGCCTCGTCCACGCATACGAACACTGAAGAGCTGGATGGTTCTGGTCCCGAGACTATTTTGGCTCGTAGACGACGATTTATGCTTGACCAGGCCCGAGAACGCTTTTTCTCCCGCAACCCTCCACCCTGATTTCGGGACCTTGCACTCTCATTCTTGATCCTTGTCGTATATACACAACTCATATTTGTAACCCCGCACTCCTGATCTTTTCTCGGCGTATGTGGCCTCTAAAATTGAACTCGTACAAACCACCCTCATTATTACTCGCCTTCCTCCAGATGCTTAAATACGCTCGGTTTTTTCCCCTTCACTGCTGTGCACTACGTCGTCTTTGCTTTTGGTCGGCTTTGTTGTCACCTACCGTGGGATAGGGACAGGGACTGGTGGTCGGTCTCTCTTTCGCCCTCTGTCATCAGACCTTGTTTGGTATTACGTGATTACTGTNCTTGTAACTTTGTTTGTCCTCTACCGAACAACAACAACAACCCACTTCCGAGTGCTGTGGTGATTATCCTCGCCTCTGTCATCATTTTGAACTCCCCACCCCACCCCCTAAATTGGCGATTCCGCCCGTCATATGCGGTTCCACTTCCTCCTCTCATTTCAGCTGCTACTACTACTACTATTGTTCCCATTAGCGTCCAATCCTCTCCATTACTTCTCTCTCGCTCGCGTGGCTGTTTTGGGGACTGCGTTCCATTCCTCTTCTGTCTGTTTATTTTGTCGATCTCCGCGTTACTCACACGTCACACCTTTATCTATCCCGTCAACTTTATGGTACTTGTTGGTTTCCATTGAGGGACCCATTCATTCACTGTTCTCTTTGATGGGTATCACGTAGGCTTTCACCTGCACCCCGAGTAATTTCTCCCCTCCCCAACCGCTGTGTGTTTTCTTCAATGCTGTCCATTTTTTTCCATAAAACAGACGGATCAAGGAGTGGGGAGCTTGTATCTGCGTGAATAATCAGTACAATTGACTGCTGCGTTCCTACCCTTGCCAACCACTGTTCACTAATCAGTTGTTGTGGTTTTCATCATCATATTCATCATTATTGTTATTAATACTACTACTCTAACTGCTATGGACGTCTTCATTGGTTGAATTTTCTTCTAAATGATACCTGATTTCATCTAAAAGTAACTGTCAGGATCTCAATTCGTACCTGAAGATACTATAGCTTTACCTCGAGCGGGATCGTACGTGGCCTGGTTACACCGAGTTTCGAATCGGATTACAGTCCGTTTGGTACTCACCAGATGTGCAGTTGTGGACGCTCGGCGGTTTATGCCTGTCAAAATAATATACACTGTAGCAGTTGAAACCGATTGGGGCGACTATCTATGAACATTTAGGACAGAGTTCCGTATTGTGCATTAACCCTGGACAATAGATTTCTTCCCAGTTGATTCATCTACGTGGTTTGTGGGAATCGAAAAGGATTTTAATGGTTGCCTGCCACATCGTTATTAGGTGAGCAACAAACGATCTTCACCCACCTCTATTCTCACCAGGGGTAAGCCAGCGAGGATGTTATTTTATGGTGTCCCATAGCTACTGCCTCATATAACGGGCATCGCAAGTACACAATCCCAAGTCGGGTTGACATGACCAGCTTGTCTTTGTTGTGTTGTTGGATATTTGGTGACCTCGAAGTTACATTTCGTCGAAAATAAGCTCCACTACGGTGTGGATTCGTCAAGGGTCAGTTCTTATTGTCATCTTTTAATGTTCAATGTGAAGATTCACATGTGTCCCACTTCATCGGAAATCAGATTCGACAACAAAAATAGCCCGCCCCCCCCCCCCCCCCCCNTCCTTATTTGAGTCGAACAGTAGGGCATTTATCATAACACAAACCACACTGTCTCAGGGCTGGATATGGGAGGAGTAGGGCCCTAAAAAACTGTGCTGATGTCCGCCAGGACATTCAGCTTTAACAGTCTTCTTTCTGTTGGATCCCACCGCAGGCAATAGGGAATCGGTTGTTCGTAAAAGTGATCAGTATTCATCTCATAGATTCGAATGCTACGTACAAGCAATCACACCACCCTGAGTGATTGAAACTAAAGTCTCATGTACACTTGAGGATGACGTCAGCTAATCGATTTTCATTTACAGAATGGCTTAAAACTCACCGTAATACTCAGGGCCTACTTCCCTCTCTTCTCTCAGACCGATATAGCTGAAGACTCATTTCAATGTCCGCATCACTTGTAATATATATCTTTTTACTTCCGATTTTATTTATTGACTATGCAAGTGTGAAATCAACTTTCTGGAAAGGGGACTGCGACCATACCAAGGCTGCTTGGGAAAATAAAGAAATGGGGAAGATGGAGCGTAGAAACAAATTATCTGCGACGGCAGTAAACTGAAAATTGCCAAGGCTAGTCTCACACGTGGCCTGGGCGGACGCAGAAAACAAACTGAAGGCTGAGGTCTTCTATTTCTATGTGAACTGTGGTTCCACAGAAATTGATAATCGATACGTATCCGATAAATTCAAACGAACGACTTGGTCATCTGACACCAGCGTACGGACCACTTCGAAAGTGGTGGTACAGAATGACGTGTAAAATTATGATACCATAAAACCAAGACAGAAGTGTACATTTATAAACACAACCATAGTAAGCAGTCATTGATCAAATAACCGTTCAACGCTGGGATTCTGTCATTTGGCATTATAAGGGAGGCTGTAGTGCAGTACATGGGTAGTCATTTACAATCAAGCTACTCAAATATTCACAGTAGTCAAAGTGCAAATACTCAAAATTTCAATTTCTTTTCTAATGACTTGATGGACAGTGGTGGAGTGGTTTGAACCCTGGAATTCCGGGTCGCCATTTTAATGACTTTGACCACCACCGTCTATCCCAGCATTCCGCACGAACAATCACGGTTCTTCATTTCGGCCCTAATGATTTTAGAGTCATCCAACTATATTGTTCCCTGTATCTACGCTAATATATGACCATTCCACGGTTGCATGTATCGTCAAAACAACGGGAGGTGGTTATGAACTCACAACTTGACCCTCTCTCCGGTGGATATCTTTGTGCCGAAGATCAATTTTATCAGGCTCATTGTGATTTTGTTTCTACCCACAAGATGGAGTACGCGCAAGAACTAACATAGATCGATATTTTCGTGTCACGACGAGAATACGGCTCTGTCTGTCCGACGTTACAACCCCGAGAGATGGAAAACGTCAAAAGCACAAACTACAACGACGAGCATAGTTTTGTCTTTCATTCGGTATTTTGCCAATCATTTGAGAAACCTTTTTTCTATCGGCATTTCAGATGATGAACTTGTCCGACCTAAATCACTGCTGCTAGAATATAGATATCCGAATGACCTTATCGAGATGTTGTGTACAATAGTCAACAATATAGAGAAATGGGAGAAGCCAACGGTAAAGGAGAGAGCGGATAACAGTTACTTAGTCCAAGAATAAATGGTACGTGGGAAGGTGAGCGAAACATTCAAACTAGGACCGAGGAATTATCAAAATAATTCCTCATTCAAAGGCAAGGGTATTGTAGGTTGGAGGGAAGACTGAAAGCTGGGAGTGTTCCACAGCTGTGCTGTTCTTAGGAAAACAGATGATGGAAAGTCTGTAGTGCAATACCTGAGGGTAGTCACTTGAATTGGGTGGCTAAATTATTGTGTACTGGATATCTGAGGAAGCACAAGCGTGAGAGGGACAGCAGCGGCCAGTCCACTGGAGCAAAATCCACCGTGGTATCATTTGAATGAGGATGAACAAGTGATCAGTTAGTGACAATTCATATCGCAAGCACTCATCCATCTGTGTTGAGCATACTGACTACATTATACCAAAAATTAACTTTCCAACCTTCCTACAATGTCCCCGGAGTAATACAATGCGTGACTGAGGTCTTGCACCCCCACTCTCAAAATTTGATCATATGATCGCGGAAGAAACGGTACACTTGAATAGACAGAAAAAAAGCATCGAAAATGTTCAAATTCAAATTTTTATTATGGGTAAATCACAAAGGTGATACTTTTTGATCCCATAGGCTCTGTACACACTGGGTTCGGTTGTTAATACAAATGGATAGCAAATTCTGACATTCACTCACGAGTACTGGATATTTAGATAGTTCAGTGCTTCATCCAATCGCGACTTGAATCGGTGGTTGGTGCATAAACCACTTGAGATGGAAGAGAGTTCATGGTGTTTCAAAATCTGTGGCTGAAAGAATGACACCTGCAGTCGAACCGGCTCTTTTGGAACAGAAGTTTAAACGGATTTCCTCGGAGGTGACCATTCCTGGATAGCTTTAGTAGAGTATTACACGAGTGGCTAGGTTGATGTATTATTTGATATACAAGGATCATGTCTCCCCGTATTCAGAAGAATAGAGTCCGAGAATTCGCGCTTTTCATCATAGGTCTTAGATTGTAATCCCTTGACCATTTTGGTTGCTGTGGTTTGCGGATGTTCGAGTGCCTTTTGGTGGCGAATCATGGATTCCAAGCGTGTATAGCATACTCGGTGTGTGGTCTAATGTACGCTGATGATAAACGGGGCAATAGGTCTGTTTCGAATGATCAAAAAACACGATTTAACAATCCACTGTTTTATTGCCTTTAATGACGTTCTTGCGCAATGTGTGGAACATCCTAGATCCTCACGAACGGTCTGATGTTAAAAATTTTTCAACTGAACTTTCCAGCTCTCCAGAAGGGTTGCAAAAATCGATGATATCAATTATATAGCAAAACGAGCATCGCAAACCATTCAATCGATTTAAAAATCAATGTCGATCGCATGGTCGAAACCTATGGACTCAGTCCCTGAACTTTCGAAACATCCCCAGGAATACTTTGTTCGATTTATGCCAATCAATCTATTCAAACTGGTGTCACACAGAAATCTCGAACTAGCTGACTCCGGTGAAACGATATTGACCACGATACAGAAGGTCGCTAGACCAATTACCTTACAACAGTAGCCTACCTTGGCAGCAAGCAGATCATACCTCTCAAAAAGACAGCGAAGTAATTTTGGATAATTCCACATGCACGAATCAATAGTAGTTTTGTGCCAGAAATACTTACATGCAGGTATGTTTTACGGTTGTTATTAGAAG